GTGTAAGGTCTTCACACACCACTGAAAACATAGTTATGGATCTTATATTGCATTTCTGTCAATAGATCCTCAGAAATATTACACACTAGACCTTAGACAGTTTCTCTGCTGCTGCTCTGGGGACGACACCTCTACTCACATCAAACTCCCTCCATGGTGGAAGTCTTTCCACTTCCTGTCTGGCCAGAAGCAAAGCGGCAGCCGTCGGAGCCGTCCGATGCGGACTGAACCGGCAGGGAGATCTCTGAAGACCTGAAAGTGACAAAGTCACCATCAGTTTCCTGCTCTGCTGGAAAAATATTCATGTGATGTGGATTTTAAAGACGGCTGGGATTTCTTCATGCTGACTGAAGCTTCTTATATCCATGTGGATATTGTTGGGCTCCTGCTGCGAGGCCTGGGGGCCAAACAGCCGCTCTAAACTAAAGTTAGATCTCTGCTGCCTGTCCGCAGTTTTGCCTGTGTGAGATTGAAAAGCAGAAAAGGGCAGAATTTGTTGTGGTGGCAGCCCGGCTGACGGTGAGTGTCCTGGTTTTTTCTCCTTTTTATCAGTTATTCTTCCTTTTCCTTGGTTTTCTGTTCCCTGCCTGCCTCCCTGTGTTTTCTCCCCTGTGTGCTCTCTCTCTCTCTCTCTCTCTCTCTCCCATCCTCGCTTGATCGTCGTTGCTCCATACCCGGTGCCACCTCCGTGTTCAGGCTTTCGTGTTTCTTGTTTTTTCACATTTTCCCTGTGCCTTGTCGCCGCCATCCCTAACCCTGTCTCTCTGTCTGTTTCCCACCCAGGTACACTCACCCTCGTCCTCCGTTCAGTCGGCTGGGCTCGTCCACCGGCCCTCTCCTCCTCGGACTTCCCTCACGGCGTCCTCCCTGTTCCCTCGCCTCTCCTCGCTTCCTCGGCCCCGTGTTCCCCGGCTCCCTGGCCCCCTGTCTCCTTGGTTCCCCGTGCCTGTGCTTTCCCAACATCCACCTCTTCCTCCACTCCAGTCCCTCTACCCCTTTCTCCCTCAATAAACCTCCTTCCCTCTGAACATTGCATTTGGGTCCTCTCTGTCCCCACACCACACAATCCCATAAAAGAATTTTAGATCTGCTGACACAACTCAAAGCTAAATGTTGCTTCTTTGGTTTGTGATGACGGGGCACTGCCCGCCACTTTGACACAGCAACATGTTTGTGTCTTTGGTGACTTCCAGTTCATTTACACATTACGCTTTCTGTTTTCTATATTGCAATTGGCTGATTAGACAGGAAATCCATCCCAAACTCTGGATGATACTTGCTGCTGTGGCCTTCCTTAACTTCAGAGATCTGCTCTGCTGACTGGATTCTCACCTCCTCTGTTTGGCTCGGTGTTTTCCTCTTGAGGTCACCGGTTGGGAGCCGGATGTGCTCTGAGGCCTCCATCCACCAGGGAGCGCACTCTGCACAACACCCTGATGTTGCCATGCATGAAAGCGCTGATAGCTAAACAGACAGATTAGAAAGAAAAGTCCCAACATTCAGTGGAACAGTGGATTAGAATGAATGGGAAGTGAGCATTAAAGCCTTCAGTGTGAAAGCAGCCTTAGAGAGCAGCTCATGCTATATGTTTTCAAAATAAGGTGTCAACATAACATATATACAGTAATAACAGAAATAAGATGAGCTGGATTATATTCACTGGAAGTAGAAAACATGTGTCCATTAAAAGGAAAAAATTACTTTATTCTTTGATTTTGGGCTTCTGGAAAAACACGAAATAATTCAGTGAGTTAAAGAGTCCGGTAATTTACACTGATTTAGTTTGTTTAGTGAACAAGAGCTGCTTTAAGGCCCTCAGCACTTCAGTTAACATGATTTAGTATGATGGCAGACGGCTGAATGAAGCCACTAGGGGCTCGATGGCTCTGTCTCTGCCACTCTGTGCTCGCTCTGTGAGGTGGGAACTTGCACAAACACACATTTAGTAAAGTGCAGCATGTGAACACTACAGCACACACAGGATTTTAACTGAGGGCCTTTAGTGCTGTGGACAGCATTCAAAAGTCATCTGCAATCAGCTAACAGAAGCTCAAAACCTGGACCTGGAGCCTTCTTGTGGGAACTGCAGACTAAGAGTTAACAATAAGTTGTAGTGAGCGCTGGTTCCACAGCAGAGCTAAAGGCTAGGATGCTAACGGCTAACATGCTACAGTAACATTCAGTCAGCATCCAAACATGAAGAAGCTGGAAATGAGCTCTGCTAGATCCCAAAAAGTCCACTCTACAGGGTCACTGGTCGTCAGCCACAAGTTAGGAACCTTTAGCTCTCTGCTTCACAACAGCTTCTCCTGTCCTCCAATGATCTGAGGCCGCTACCGCTAAGCCCCGCCCCTCTACCTGGGAATGACCTGTCCACAGTCAGTTTAACAAGCAGCCGGTCCTCTGTCCTCCAGTAGTCCCTGTGGGGGGGTCAGCTGTTTCTCATCAGCTCACTTGGTTCTCAGTCCAGAACCAGTAAAACCAGTAAAACCAGTTTAAAACACAGAGCATGCAGTAATCTAAAACTTGGCCACATGAAATCTGTCCATCAATGATGTGTAAAAAAGCCCCCAGTTAGGATCAAGTTGTTCAAAGTGATTTCCAGGTCTCTCACTGGGACAGATATTCAGCTCTTTACCTGAGGAGTTCCTCCGTTTTCCTCTCTCCAATGACTAGAATCAATCCAAACCACAGCTCCAATCAGATGAAACGCTGTGTCTGCATGTGTCTGTCTGGGAACAGTGTGGGAAATGAGCCTGAATCCATTTCTAAGGCAACGTGGAGATTGAATTTACTGATCAGTGATCAGCAGCAGGCTGAGAAGAAATGCTGATTTAGAAAATAACTGCCAATTATCAGCTGCTGCTCATCAAGATGTTCAATATTTGATTCAAATCAATCTTCCTTTAGGTTTGAGATCGCAGCCAGAAATACAGTTATTGTTAAATGAAGTGATTTAGCATCATCTTTCCAAAATGTTCCCATATTTATTTCAATATTAAACTTAGTCAGCTTAAAGAGCTGCTTACATGGATATATTCTGTTAAAGCTTTGAAAATTCACTTCTGCTGCTGTCGCAAGAGGAAATGTTGAAGATTTTCTCCTGATTGGACAAAACAACACAATAATCCAACTTTATTGGCCGTTGTAGTGGAAACGTCTCTCTGACTGTTTCTCTGGACGTTATTAAGAAGCATCAACGTGTCTTCAAGCTTCTGTTCAGAGAAGGTTTCACCATCAATACTGACCTCAATCAACCAATCAATCAGCTTTAAAAGCTCCTGATCAATATTCTGTGGATGGAAACCAAAGGTCGTCTCTAGCAGCGTCAAGAGAAAGCCAGCAGCAGCCTGAGAGCAGATTTCAAATAAAGGGATTCAATGAAGAATCAATCTTGTTATTAGAATTGTATTGATGAGTGCTGTTAGCCACGCTGATACCAACAGTGATGTGTTCAACACAAACATTCATCTGGATGGAAGTGGACTCCCACAGAAACTAGCATGATCACTGCCCTCCAGTGGTCACTGTCAGTAACTGCAGCACTGACAATAATCCTGATGTTTACACTGACATTATTCCACATTCACTGCATTATTTTAGCACTAATGTTCGTCAGGCTGATGAGCACGCTCTATATGTGAACACAGAGATTATTAAAGTGCTACAAACACTGAGCTTCTTTCTAAACTGACTGAGAAATAATCACAGTGTTTACTGCCCTCCAGTGGTCCAATAATCAGGACTTTAACAGAGAAACATTCAAAACACTAGAATAAAAATATAGAGCTTCTATAGCATCAGTGCGATGTTGCTACGACTTGTTCATGTGAGCGAAGCTGCTGGAACAAAACTGCTTTGATCCGGCTTTGTTCTCCACCTCAGGACTATAAACCTCCGTCCAGAAGAAGAGGCTGAAATTCACTGTGCAAAGGGCGGCAGCCGTCATTTCAAAGCCAGCTGATGATCCGTGGAACTGTCTGGTGTACAGGGACGCCGGGGACTCACCAACCAGCCCACTAGACCATTAAACTATTTGATTTAGAGAGTCTTTAAAGACAGCTTTCCAAACCCTGACACCAAAGAAGAAGATCCCATGATAGAATAAGGTGCTGCTGCTTTAGTCAGAGTGGAAATAGGACAGTTTCCTCAAAGGAAACAAATGCTGGAGTCCTTTTTGTTTGCTTCAGAGTTCAGTTTGGATCAATAACTGTCCCCAGATATTTGGGAGCTGCCACACATTTCCCTATCTGAGCCTTCATGGATGTGACTGCATGTGTGTGGCCAGGACTTCAATCAATGATCTTTGCTTTTACATGTTGAACTGAAGACAGGACTTTAAAATCCTCCTATTCTCACACCTGCTCGGACACATGTTTGTTTAGAGGATCAATAATATGGGCCAGAGCTCCCGTCCTTGAGGGGAGCCGGTGGAGGAGCAAACTCGGTCATTTCCTCTCACTCTTTTTGTCTTGTTAGTTTAAAAGTCAAGAATCCAGCCCCACAGAGTGGCTAACTGCTAGCTAGACATTTCTAACATTTTACCCAGAGGTCAGTTGTTCTGGTTTGAACTACGTCATTAATATCATAAAAGACTTCTTTCAGTATTGTTTCATTGAAAGAGCAGCAGCCAGGAGTTTAAAATACTGTCGTCATGACTCAAAGTCCCCCGAACTGTAGTTTTTATTGTGTTGAAACATTTCTTTCAATAAAAAAAAAAAAAAGACAGTTTTCCCCCAAAATGAGTCCCAGGTTACATTTTATGTCCCAACACAGGTTTTCTTCCTGTTTCAAAGCTGTCTCCAAACAGCCAGGAATCAGCTCTGAATGAGTTGAGACTGAAAATGTGTCACATATTTTTACAGTAACTTTCAGTAAAAGTACACACTGGGAAAAGCATTTCTTTATAGACAACGGCGTCCACAAACTTTTGGCCATATACTGTATCTTCCAGCTGAATGGTGTCAGTAGTCCTGAGCTGAGAAAGACAACAAACACACTCACAGTAACATTCTGCTTTTATTGGAACAAGAGCCAGAATTCAAAGCAACACATGACAGAAGGTCCAAGTCAACGGCATTTCCACCATTTAATGATCAGAGCTTCCATCTTTAAAGGACTGGAAGTGGAAGAAGTTTACATGGAAATGAGGAATCTGTTCAATCACTTTGAATCACTTTGTACAAAGTTCATTGATGGATTTATTACAAGAAGCTGAAAGATTTCTGTGATCCTGTACAGACTCAACTGATCTGTTCTCTACCAGGAGGAGACTCTCCCTCCTGCACAGAACACAGAGACACTGAGGAAACAAGCGAGGATACAAAGAAATAATTATCGGGTCCTAACCAGAACCCAAAGCCAGGATAAAGAGGTTCAGTGAATGTGGTGTTGAAGGTGTGGAGGTGGATCAGTGTGTCAGAGGAGACTCTGTAGAAGGACAGAGTGCCTGCAGGACAGTCCACATACACTGCTACTCTACCAGAGGAGGAGGAGGAGGAGAGGAGGTGAGAAATCAAGGTGGAGATGGAGAAGGAGGAGGAGATGGATGTTTTTTGGTTATTATGCCAGGCACAGTAAACATCACCAATATAGCAGCTCAGACTCCAGGACTTATTCCCTCCAAATAAACAGTCTTTACTGTCTCCTCTCCTTCCGATTCCTCTGTAACTCACTGATATATCAGCAGGTCCTGTCCACTCGACCTCCCAGTAACAGCGACCAGTCAGACCATCTCTACACAGAAGCTGAGGCCAGTAGTCAAACCTGTCTGGATGATCAGGATATGACTGATCCTCTCTCACACGTGTTGCCTTCCTGTTGTTGTCAGACAGTGTGATCCCTCTGTGTACTGTGTTTGTGTCGATTGTGAGTTCACAGGAATCTGATGAGAGAACGAGACACAATCCAGCTGCAGTTATTGATCTATCATCTGTTCATTGATTGGCACTTTGAATGAGTGATGTCACAGTCTGAAGATGGTTGAATGTTTTCATGAATCAAATGAAAAACACACTTACACTTCTTCAGCCCTGGTCTCAACCATTGGTCTCCAGCAGGCTCCACCCTAAAAGGAGGAGGGGGGTCAGAGCAGCATCAAACATGGACATTACATTCCTCTCATACACGTATTCACAATACACAGTGGTTTGCTCTGCTGTTTACCCTTTTCCCTCTCCTCTTGCACTGTGTGTGAGGAGTGAGATTAGTTACTATTGGTACGTGGACACTGTTTGACTCTGCTGCTATTGAAAATAAATGCAAAGTTAAAAAAACGTATATATATATATATATATATATATATATATATATATATATATATATATATATATATATATATATATATATATAAATATAAAACTTAGACAAACTCAAATACATGCAAAATAGGTTTGTCTCATTTGTCCACAGCAGTGCTACAATTCAGCTTTGGTTTTTAGTCACCCCACATGACATGGAACTACTGAAAGCTTTTTTTCTATAAAATATTAATATATGCAATTGTTTCTTCTTCAAATATTTTTGTAAAATGAAATAACCACACATTAGCAATCAAGATAGTAGTATCCCTGGACTACACAAGACTGAATACATGACACTGTCTGAAGTGGTGTGTGTGCGCTTGTGGGAATATACGATCTCATACTGAGTACACACACACACACACACACACACACACACACACACACACACACACACTTCATATAGTCAGTGTAGTGAGGGAACAAGGTATAGTAGACAATAAACATTAATGCACTGAACAGATAGCATAGTTATAGTACAATGTCGTGTGGTCGTTATTGCCCCTACCATTATCACAGTAAAGTCATATTTCAATATTTTTGGCACCTCTGATTTATCCCTGAATAAGCAATGCCTCTGTGATTTGGGTATTGTCATATGTAATCATTTTCCTATGTGCTGTATAACTTTCTCAAAATGGGTTAACTAACATACATCTCCAGAGTGCATGTAAAAATGTTCCTGTCTCTGTCTGGCATTTCCAGCATAAGTCACTGGACAGTATGCCGATCCTACTGGATATAGTTTAGAAGGAGTAAAGTTAAACCTTTGTATTAACTTGTATTGAATGAACTTCCCTCTAGCCTCCTTTATATACTTCCCCGTATTCGATAGGATATTCAACCAAACGCCTTCAGTTATTTCACAGTTTAGGTCTTTCTGACAGATGGTTCTGAGATTTTTACAAATATCTCATTGTAGTCCGTTAAAGGTCTTTTAGAATCTAGCTGCCCTGCGTGTTATGCAGGTGCTTCTAAGAATTCCACCACTGCGTTTACAAACTGACCCTTAGTAATGCAGTTTCTGATTTGTAAAAATCCCAAGCGCCAGCAACATCAAGAAGAAGGAACACGAGAAGCTTGAGAAATACCAAGGGCTGAAAGAGGAGCTAGAAAAGATGTGGAAAGTAAGAGCAACAGTGATGCCAATGGTAATCGGTTGATTCCAGGTAAGAAGACAAAAAAGTTTTTTTCAGACTGATAGACAGTTCCTTTAATATGCAGAGATCTGTCTGAAATGCATCAGTTATTACCAATATGCAATTATCATGTTTGTTCCAGGAGATGTTCTCCTGGGAGACCTCCTGCACAAAGATCTTCTTTTTCTATGCATCATCACGCATAGACCAGTAAACCGAAATGTGCACATCCCACACAGAAATAATAGTAATCTCTTAAGGATTAGGACAACTGCACCAACTCCAGCACCCAGAACAAACTCATTTAAAATGGCTCTCTTCAATGTGAGATCACTTTCAAGTAAGACTTTTATCTTAAATGATTTTATCTTTATTTATGTTTTTAACTGAATCCTGGTTGCAAATGAATGACTATAGCCAGCTAGCTGAACTGTGTCCGCCTCAATATGATTGCTTTAGTCAACCGAGGGTCAGTGGTCGTGGTGGTGGGCTAGTGAGCGTGTATAGGAAAAATTTTAAATGTCATCAAGTACGCTGTGATGAATTTAGCTCCTTTGAAGTTCTCACTCTTAAAGTTGGAGGGCTGCATCATATATGTTATAATTTATCGCCCCCCAAAACCGCCTGGAGGATTTTATCAGAACTTCCTGAATTTTATCTACTCTGGTTTTAAATTGTGACAGAATTGTTCTTTGTGGCGATTTTAATATTCATGTTGATGACCCCAACAATGTTAATGCAACTGACTTTTTAAATATGGCCACTTCTTTTAACTTCAAACAACATGTCAAAGGGCAAACACATAACCGTGGTCATACACTGGACTTGGTTTTTACCCTGGGTGTCAGCATTTCCTCGGTGGAATTGGTGGACATGACCATATCTGACCACAGATGTATTGTTTTTAGCTGCGATTCGCCTGTTACTCATGCCGCCTCACCAAGCTCCGTGTGTTGTCGCATCTTTAATGAACAAAGTGTTTCAAAGTTTTGCGCAGTCTTTCAGAGCCAAAGCCAACACCTGTCTGATTCCAACACCAACAATCTGGTCGATCACTTCAATCATATCTGCTTGTCGTCACTAAATATTACTGCTCCTCTAAAGGTTAGGCCTACGTCTAAAGCTAGTAAACAACCCTGGATAAATGACAGCATTCGCAGCCTAAAAAGGGAATGCAGGAAAGCAGAGCGCAGATGGAAAAAATCCAATCTCCAAGTCCATTACCTCAGTCTGAAGGATTTATTAATTAACTACAATAAAATGGTTAAGGATGCGAGAACACACTATTTTTCTGAACTCATTACTACACATAAACACAATCCCAGGTTTCTGTTTAAGACTGTGGATCAGCTGGTAAACCCAACCCCTCCTTGTGCCTCAGCTGAAAGTAATGATGACTGTGAATTGTTTTTATCTTATTTTACCAATAAGGTGGTGTCAATCAGAGCCTCTATTACCCCTGCGGCCTCTTACTTAGAGGTCTCTCACCAGCAACAAGAGAGTTTTAACCAGTTTTATCCCATGGACTTGTCTGAGCTTTTAAAAACCGTATCACAAATGAGAGTGTCCTCCAGCCCACTTGATGTAATACCTACAAAATTTTTACTAAAAGTAATAGATTCTGTTGGGCCCCATTTGATCTCTGTTTTCAACAGCTCCCTATCTACTGGTTGTGTCCCTGATTATTTTAAAACGGCTTGCGTGAACCCACTTTTAAAGAAACCTGGTTTAGATCCCTCCCTCCCACATAATTTTAGACCAATTCAAAACTGCCTTTTACTGCAAAGATTCTAGAAAGAATTGTGTCCAAACAGCTGCTCACTGTGCTGGAAAATAACAAATTATTTGAAAAGTTTCAGTCTGGTTTTAGGAAGTACCACAGCACTGAGACTGCCCTGCTTAAAGTCACCAATGACCTTTTAATGTCTGCTGATGAAGGTATGTGCTCAGTCCTTGTACTCCTGGACCTTAGCGCTGCTTTTGACACCATTGATCACAACATCATGTTAGACAGACTGAGGCACTGGGTGGGGATCTCTGGTACTGCTCTAGAATGGTTTTCATCCTACCTGTCAAATAGGAAGTTCTGTGTGTCTGTAAACAACTATGTCTCTTCATTCTGTCCAGTTAAATATGGTGTGCCTCAGGGGTCGGTCTTAGGACCCATTTTGTTTTCCTTGTATCTGCTTCCCCTTGGACATATTATCCATAAACATGGCATTTCTTTTCATATTTATGCTGATGACACACAAATATACTTGCCAGTCAGATCCACAGACCCTGGAATGCTGAGTTCACTTAACAACTGCCTTTGTGAAGTTAAAAAATGGATGTCAAATAATTTCCTCCAGCTGAACTCAGACAAAACAGAAATCCTGGTCATCGGGTCCCAGCAGATGGCAAATCAAATACTGCCATCTGCTGGTTCCCTAGTAAATCACATTAAGCCTGTGGCAAAGAACCTTGGTGTTTGGTTTGATAGTAATTTAAATTTCGAGCAGCACACCACAAAGCTTGTTCAATCATGTTTTTATCAACTTAGAAATATAGCTAAAATTCGATCTATGTTAACTTTTAAGGACACCGAGACCATTTTACACGCCTTCATCTCATCACGCCTGGATTATTGCAACAGCCTTTTCACCTGTTTAACCCAAAAATCTATTGATCGACTCCAGACTGTCCAGAACTCAGCTGCCAGGCTTTTAACCAGAACAAAGAAATATGACCACATTACTCCTATTTTAGCTTCATTACACTGGCTCCCAGTATGTTTTAGAATTGACTTTAAAATTCTATTGATCACTTTTAAAGCTCTTCATGGCCTCTCGCCTTGTTATATTTCTGACCTTTTAGTCCCATACGCACCAGCACGTACCTTGAGATCCTCGGGCAGAGGTCTGTTGTCTGTTCCAGAGTCTCGACTGAAAACTAAAGGGGACAGAGCGTTTGCTGTCAGGGCCCCGAGGCTCTGGAACAGCCTGCCCGAGGAAATCAGGTCGGCTGAGTCAGTGAACTCTTTTAAGTCCCTTCTTAAAACATACTTTTATAGGAGAGCTTTTCCCGATCTTATTTGACTTTATTTTATCCCTTTTATTTATTTTACTAATTTTATATTAAATTTTCATGCTCTTATCTTTTTTTTGTATTATTCTTTACACTTGTTAAAGCACTTTGTAACTTGTTTTTGAAAAGTGCTCTACAAATAAGGATTATTATTATTATTATTTTATATGACATGTGTGACTCTTCATACAACATTCAAACCCACCATTAGCCAAAAAGACCTCCTCTATTAGACTGACTGTCTGTGGCTGCAGCAGGCTTCTTCATACCTGAGAGTGCCCAGTCTCCATTCTGGATCCTCCAGTCCAGCAGACAGCAGCGTCACTCCTGAGTCCCCCTGGATGATTGTAGCTCAGGTCCAGCTCTCTCAGATGGGAGGGGTTGGAGCTCAGAGCTGAGGCCAGAAAAACACAGCCTTCCTCTGTGATCAGACAGCCTGACAGCCTGCAAACACAGAAACCAACACATGGCCAATCATCTGAGGGTCCAGTTGTGATGGTCTGGAGGAAACTGTTATCAAATAAATAAATAATACAATAACTGACTCAGGGAGATAACAGTAACAATGTCACTGTTGAATGTTGAGTCTACAATAAAGAGTCCACAGCCATGCCAGCAGCTCTCTGAGACTGTACTAGTTAAATGGTAACACCAGTGTGCTCACAATGACAATGCTAATCTCTTTAAATTTAGCATTAATGTAAAAACATTAAGAATAAATACATGTACTTTCAAAATAGTGGTGCGTGCATTCATAAAATAAATATTAGACTTAAATAATAATAAGAAAACTTAAGATTTTGAATGGTCGACTATTGAAAGGGTTAATAAATATTGACCTTAGGGTTTCCAGTGTACAGTGTGGACTCCCCAGTCCAGCAGACAGCAGCTTCACTCCTGAATCCTGCAGGTTGTTGTTACTCAGGTCCAGCTCTCTCAGACTAGAGTACTGGGAGGTGAGAACTGAGGATAGAGCTTCACAGCTTCTCTCTGACAGGTTACAGCCACTCAGTCTGGAGAGACAACAAGAAGGAAACAAGTAATAACACACTGATTTTTTTCTCTTGTTTAAATTTAGCAGAGTATGTATAGATGAATAAATCCCATTTACAGAGCTTTCTTGGAGGCTTTGACCACGGGCAGCAGCCTCAAAGAACCTCCTCTGAAGCGGAGTATTTCTTCAGGTCAAACACATCCAGATCTTTTTCTGATGACAGTAAGATGAAGCCCAGAACTGACCACTGAGCAGGAGAGAGTTTATCGCTGGAGAGTCTTCCTGAATGCAGGGACTGTTGGATCTGATCCACTAGGAACGATCATTCAGTTCATTCAGACAGTGGAACAGAGTGATGCTTTTCTCTGCAGATGGAGTCTTTCAATCTTCTGCTTAATGTATTTGACTGTCACCTGATTGGTTTTTGACCCACCTCCTGTCTGTGTCTGCAGGCCTCGTAGGAGATTCTGATTGGTCTGCAGTGAAAGTCCCAGGAGGAAACGGAGGAACAAGTCCAGGTGTCCATTTGGACTCTGTAAGGTCTTGTCCACAGCACTCTGGTAGAGATGTTTTGATTTGCCTCTGAACACTTTGGACCACCAGGTTGTTTGTTTTTCTGTAAGCAGATCGACACCAGAGTTGATGAAGGTCAGATGGACATGAAGAGCAGCCAGAAACTCCTGAACACTCAGATGGACGAAGCAGAACACCTTGTCCTGGTACAGCCCTCTCTCCTCTCTAAAGATCTGTGTGAACACTCCTGAGTACACTGAGGCTGCTCTGATATCGATGCCACACTCTGTCAGGTCTGATTCATAGAAGATCAGGTTGCCTTTCTGCAGCTGCTCAAAAGCCAGTTTTCCCAGAGACTCAATCATCTTCCTGCTCTCTGGACTCCAGTGTGGATCTGTCTCAGCTCCTCCATCATACTTGGTTTTCTTCAGTTTGGACTGAACCACCAGGAAGTGGATGTACATCTCAGTCAGGGTCTTGGGCAGCTCTCCTCCCTCTCTGGTCTTCAACACCTCCTCCAGAACTGTAGCAGTGATCCAGCAGAAGACTGGGATGTGGCACATGATGTGGAGGCTTCGTGATGTCTTGATGTGGGAGATGATTCTGCTGGCCTGCTCCTCATCTCTGAATCTCTTCCTGAAGTACTCCTCCTTCTGTGGGTCAGTGAACCCTCTGATCTCTGTCACCATGTCAACAAACTCAGAAGGGATCTGATTGGCTACTGCAGGTCGTGTGGTTATCCAGAGGCGAGCGGAGGGAAGCAGCTTCCCCCTGATGAGGTTTGTCAGCAGCACATCCACTGAGGTGGACTCTGTGACATCAGTCAGGACCTCATTGTTGTGGAAGTCCAGAGGAAGTCGACACTCATCCAGACCGTCAAAGATGAACACAACCTGGAACTCTTCAAAGTTGTAGATTCCTGCTTCTTTTGTTTCAGGAAAGAAGTGATGAACAAGTTCCACCAAGCTGTACTTTTCCTCTTTCAGCACATTCAGCTCTCTGAAAGTGAATGGAAATGTGAACTGTATGTCCTGGTTGGCTTTGTCTTCAGCCCAGTCCAGAGTGAACTTCTGTGTTAAGACTGTTTTCCCAATGCCAGCCACTCCCTTTGTCATCACTGTTCTGATTGGTTCATCTCTTCCAGGTGAGGCTTTAAAGATGTCTTCTTGTCTGATGGTTGTTTCTGGTCTGTCTGGTTTCCTGGATGCTGTTTCAATCTGTCTGACCTCATGTTCATAATTGACCTCTGCAGTCCCTCCCTCTGTGATGTAGAGCTCTGTGTAGATCTGGTTCAGGAGGGTTGGGTTTCCTGCTTTAGCAATCCCCTCAAACACACACTGGAACTTCTTCTCCAACTTAGATTTAAGTTCACGCTGACAATCTGCATCGGGATTTCCTGAATGAACACACAACAAAGATCATCAGGGTTGGCAGTTAGTGTGTCTTGATGAACCAGGCTCATCTTCGTAATGCCCCCCAATAATTTGCCCCCCTTTAGGCTTGAATGTCGTTTCTGACTTTAAAACCCGCAGATACTCTGAAGCTGCTTTCTGAAGCTGCTTCGACCAACTCTGATCAGGTTCTGCTGTCTTTCACTTAGGTATAATGAAGTTAAAACTTCTCACAGAGAATGTGAAACTTATTTACACTTAATGTTTTTAGATTAAAAACTACACTTTGTCTTCCTTGTGTAACTGAAAATAAAGCAGCATTTCACACACACACAAGATAACGGTTTTGGCTGCTGGCAAGAAAACCATCACATGAGAATGATCCTAAACATCTCATAGCAAACTTTTATCACACTTTATTGCAGTCCTTTATTTTGATAGCAAATGTTACCGCAGTATTTACAAAAGCTCATACATTTTGATAGCATTGATGCATTTCTGATGCAGGAAACTACTTATTTATTTTAAATCCATCAACATGTCAAACTTACCTGCATGTCATCAGGACATCTCATTGGTTATTTACTCAAAGCATTAAATACCACACTAACAATAAAACCATCCACATTACTCAGTGACATTAATCTCAGTGTCTCAAATCAAGGAGGAAATAAAAGAGAATCAAGCAGCGGCATCATGCCTCTGTCCTCTCAGTCAATAATGATTGATAACTTTCAACCTTTTCTCATAATGAGATCAGGCCTCAAATTTTATCATGTCGCCCGTATTAACTGCAAAATGTAAAACTCTAACCTCTGGTCCTGAGCTGGTTTTTGGCAGTTTCTGCAGCAGGTCGTTCCTGGGTATCTCCTCTAAGACCTTCTTGGTCACCTTCAGAGCTCCATGAAGATTATAGGCGTTCACCATTAGATCCACAGTGTCCTGCCTTTCTGCCTTTTTCAGCTTAAACACTTTGATGGTTCCCTTCCATTCTTCCAGGATGTCAGGCTGCTTTAGATACCATTTGAACTTTGTGAATTCTTCATCACTTAAATCCTCCAGAGTCTTCAAAAGGTCCTTTGCCGTCATCGTGTCTCCCTGTTAAAGTCAGGCAGTAATTTTACCTGAAGGAAAACAGTAACATAAATGTTTCAGAGCTGTGTTTGTCGTTTGTAGTATTTGTGGGCTGAGTCAGGCCAGTCAGAGCTCCTGCTTGCTGCTCTGTGGAAGTGGCACAATGCTTACACTTCATTCAAATAAAGAGATCCATCTTTGAGTTAAATGAGAATCAGAAATACTTATAGCTATATACTTTATATAAAGCACCACGAAACGGAAAATGTTAGCAGGATGCCAATAAATTGACAGATTCATTCAATCATTCATTCATTAGAACAGGTTTTAGTTCTTGAAATGAAAGCTAGCTGTTGTCTTTAGCCATGCAGCACAGCTCACAACACCAAAAAAAAAAACCGCTAAGGCTGATGGGGATGAATATGTCTCTGATTGGTTGTTGTTCGTGTAATATTGAGAGAAAACCAGCTGATCAGGTTTCAGTCAGAATAAAAAGGACTCAGGCTCTCAGACCAGTTCTGACTCTCCCACATGTCTCAGCAGTGAAGTCAGCTCAGACTCAAATCTAACTGGTTTCCTGCTACTGATTCAATCGGACTAAACTCAACATGAAAAGCCTAATTTTGGCCAAAAACTCACAGATCAGAGAATAATTAGTGAATGAATTCATGAATATTCAGATCTAGAACAGTAAATACCAGAGATGGAAGAATGAAGAGAATTTCTTCCAAAGTGTGTCATGTTACCGGTCAGGTTCTTACCTGTTAAAGTCAGAGAGACTTTCTACCTTCACCTGCAGACACTGACAGATGCTGATGGTGTCTGTGTTCGTCTGACCGACAGCTGTCACACCCTCATACCTTCAAATCCAAATCCAGAAGCGTCAGGATGACCTGAGTGCAGTGCTGCCAGTGAGAAGCTGGTGGTAGTGTCAAAGAAGGTCTGCAGTCTGATAGAAGAGTTTTCAGAGCAGCTTCAGACACTGACATCCACAACCTGCAAAAACACTGCAGCAGAAGAAGAAGAACAGGTTAGTTACTGAATGAGGGAGAACAGTCTGTAAACTCACGACAACATGTGACAAACATGTTGCAGGAAATACTGTTGTATTTTAACATTTTATTTTCCTTCACCCATTCTGCTCAGTGGTTTATATAAGAACCACGGCAGCTCAAAGTAAAAGGTCCTCGCCTGGAACACCTTTCCAAGAAAACTGGACTTGTTGTGCACCAAGAAATGTACAAAAACCACATTCTCAACTACAAGGACAATCTTTCAATAGTCAAATCCACCTATTATGCAGGCATAATTAGTTCAGGCGAAGAAAACACCAGATCCCTGTCAAACGGTGTTGCCATGGCAATGCATGATTTGCCACGAAACAGGAAGCTGTATTTTGAGAGGCTTAGGATGCTTGAAATCTCACAAAACCTTGCACAGACATCAGAATGGGTGTGCTCTGTTGTCTGATACTGTTCAAGGGCATGTGTTTGGAAAAACGTCTCTATAGCAGCCCCTGCAAGATTTCAAAGTAGCAACCCCAGTTGTCTGATACACCTAGAGCTATCAAATTTTGTATGCACGTGTACAATGCCAGGACTTAAGTCTCTTGGAGCCATATGCTAAACCCAACAGGAAGTCGTCCATATTGCATAGGTTGTCTGATCTACCCTCATTTATAGCTCCCACACTTTAACGAACTTGTCCAACAGCTTTAACCCAATCGACTTCAAATGTGGGCAGCACGACCTTAACGGCCTTGCAATTTGAAATTGCAAAGCTTTTTTGATTGATCAAACAGTGTGGCCATGGCGTGGCGTTCAATTCTGATGATTCGCCATGAAAAAGGAAGTAGCGTGTAAATAGACTGGACATGGCCAGATCTGTCCCAAAATCACATGTCAATTCCTAACTAATGGCATCAGGAAAGGACGTTTCAAACGTTTGGTTCCTTTCTTTTATTTATACCTTTTGGTAACTTAGGGACAAAAATGTCCCTATTGAGGTATTGAGAACACAATCATTCATCACATAGCACCTT